AAAAAGATTTAAGGAGAGATCGAAAATATACAAGAAAATATTTCGATCGAAGTAGGTTTTTTTTTCTATCATAGAGAATCACTTTTCTTTTTTCAGAGCTTGAATCTCTTGAAATTTTCGATATATCACTATATCGTGATTACGGGATATTAGGCCTTATTTTCTCGATCGAATCGATTAGCATGTTAATTAAATCTTATCGATCGAAATTTAAATTTGTTCGATATCGATAACAATATTATATATGTTATTCTGTTTTTGTTTTTTTCTTCTCTTTTTCGTCTGTTTTTACGATCAGGTTTTATTTACATAAAACTGTAATTTACATATACATATATATGGCGTTCTTACATATATACGTATAGTTACATATTTTCCCGCCGGAGATTGCCATCGAGCGGTTTCTATCGGGTGTGCAAGTTTATTGCACGCTGTGGTCTCTTTTTTTTTTCTCCCCCCATAGACCGACGTTTTCGACACGATCAGTAGCTTCGGATGCCGCCGCGTTATAGTCCGCTCGAGTCGAGTTTCTCCTCTCTCGAGAATTCTCCACCATATGACATATATAGTCCCTCGACTGCGTGCTCTATCAATTCGTCCTTGGCGACAATGACGAGTCCGTCCTCATGATCTCCCCTCCGCCATTATTTTTAGCTCATTAATAAAACACAACAGACGCGATATTTCGACAGGCTATTATGAATTATGACGAGGTGATAACGTAGCGTGTTTTAAGGATTTCTTTTTTATTTAGAGCTTCATAATAGGATTATCCTCATTGGAAAATTCAATTCGATAAGGAAAAATCATAGCTATCGTGCCTCAATTTTTTAATGACCAAGAAATATACTTTTTCTAATGTATTTAATATCGATATGTATTCCTAGAAATTTAAACATCATCAGATCTTGTTGATCTTCATCTCGTAGCGATATTGAAGAATACAATAAAGCAATGAAAAAATTGCATCTTTTACATGGGAAACTATATATATTTGTTTAATAATGTATTATGCACGAAGAAAGTCGCAATTATATTGTGTATATATTACACAGAATCTATATCCATATTTCAATATAATAACACAGTTTACAATATTATATAAACTTATTCTTTTAGATATTAACAAAAGATAATAATTTGATATGTCAGAACAAAAAGTATAGAAATTTTTAAATGTAAATATGTGAAAGTAGTATTGTCTTCGTTGCAGTCATTGAATCCAATTTAAATAACATCTTGTTATTTAAATCCATAATTATATGATTATATTAGACATCAGAGTTTGTGATTTGTAAAATATAAATATTTCATATATGATTTATAAAAATTATTTAATTATTATTAATACCATAAAAAGCAATATATAAAGTGTAATTTATAAATTTTTGCAATGCTTTCATGAATTTAAAAATAATTTTTTTTAAATATGTACAGCAGTAATGATAACGATTTGGAAGATGGAGAAATTCCATCAGACGAAGACGACGAGGCTATCGTCCCTGCAGCAAATGTTGCATCAGAGGCTGCTAAACCAACACCTAAGTCAGATTCTTCAACAAATAAAAATTTTGATGCAAAGTTTAACAAAAATAAAAAGCAGCAGCCTACACAGGCAGCTGGCAAACATTTTTTGAAATACAAGAATCCAACCGAAGATTGGGCTGGAGATGTTGAAAAAGCCATCAAGGCTGCAATGGAAGAGGATGGAGGAGGGAAAAATCAGGAATCCAAAGCGAAGAACAAGAACAACAGGAACAAAGTTCGGAAAAGAGTTCGTGATGAGAAAGAGGAGGATCGTAGTAAAGAACAAAAGGTATGTATAACACACGAGATAACGAATTTTATTTATAATGCACTAAAATTTTTTTTCTGGTTTAATAAGACTGCTTTTAAAGCTATAGGCTCAATGTTGTCCTTGTTTTATTACTAATGACTTATGAAACTTTGCAGAAGCGAAAATTGAGTGATGAAGAGAACGCCAATGAGGATGAAGATGAAATGCTTTTTGTACGAGGAGCCTCACCTATTAGGAAGGATTCTCAAGAAAATAATAATTCTCCCAGACGTACAAACGAGCATGAAAATTTTGACAACAATTCGGATTATGAGGAAAGACCTAATATAAATCGACATAGAGAAAATGATAGTAAACGCAGCACTGGACGTGGAGGAGGAGGAAGCGGAGGGGGAGGAGGAGGAGGAGGAGGAGGTACACACAGAATTTTAATTTCTACTTTTCTAAATTATGTTTATATAACTAAGATACGCTATATGTATGATCCTTCTTATTTTTATTATATGCAATTAAAGTTATTTAATTTATAATTATGTGAGTTGTATTATATTCGATTGTGTTTTTAACGTACGATAGGGCGTCGCGGTGGTAAAAATGAACGTGGTGGTAAAAACAAGACTCGGGGCCAAATCCGAAACGATCGAAATGGTCGTCGGCAGCAGAATAATGATCATGGACAGGAAGCAGACACAATCTGTGTATATTATATGCAAGGAAAGTGTCATAGGGGAGACGATTGTCCGTATTCGCACAACGCTTTACCACCCAGAAAAATGGAATTGTGCAAGTTTTACCTTATGGATTGTTGTGCTAAACGTGACAAATGTCTGTATATGCATCACGATTTCCCTTGCAAGTTCTTCCATACTGGTCTGAAGTGTAATCAGGGCGACAATTGTAAATTCTCGCATCAGCCTTTGAATGAACAGGTATATTTTATGTAATTTTATATTAAATTATAAATAAAAATCGAATAATGCCAATAAGAATAAAACAAATAGTACCTAAATTTATTACTAACAATATTTTATTTAAATTTGTTGTGTTTCAGGTAAAAGGTATTCTTCTGAAACACTTAGAAACTGCACCAAAGGAAATTCTTGGTGATTTTCCAAGATTGAGTAGAGAGGGTGCAATGTTAATGATAAATAATACAGCGCGTTCTCTAGCGCAAGGTCAAGATACAACAAATCAAAAGATTCCCAGTCTTTTCGAATTGAATCTATCAGCACCTACAGAAAAAACTGATGAAAAAGAAGATAAAGGTAACTATATATAAGGAAAAATTAATATATTTATTTGTTGTTAAAAATTGTTTAATTTTGTTTTATTGCTTTTTTTGTCGATTTTTATATTAAATTTAAAATTGTTTGACTGAATAGAAGAACAAACAAATCCACAAAAACAAGCCAACCTGAGGGAGAGAAAGCCTTCTGGAAAGAAGACGCGATGGGGATCGGATGAGGATAGAGTTCCCTACGAGCATATTATGCTACTACAATCAGCAAATGAACTTGGTCTTCAACTTCCAAATGCTGCATTAGGTTTAGCTACACAGCAACAAGCACAAAAGCAACCTATTGCACCATCAAACTTCTATAGCGAAAGAAATGCAGAATCAAATAAAACTGTACAAAAGACAAAAGAAGATTTTACAAAGGATGTAGGAGAAGATGATATACTAAACGAGGTATAATATTATATGAATTTATATTATAACAAATATCATATAATAAATTTTATTTGAAAATTTGAATTGAAAGTAGAAGATTTTAGTATATTATGATTTATTCTATTTATAAATTTGCAGTCGAAAAAGAGAAAAGACGTTGACTTGAGGCAACTATTGAACGCAAAGAAACCACCGCCTGTTTATAGTATAGCCGATAAAGTGGCGAGTCTTACGAAAAATAAACTTGATGACGAAAGCGATCAAGACGAAGAAGCGGAACTCGTTATCGAAGTACCGGCTGAAGATGAGGATAAGGAAAAAGAAAAATATTTCGATAGCGAGCAAAGTAAGAATAACTACTTATATTATACATGGTTTTTCCTTTCTTCAGTTATATATATTCGATAAAAGATTTAATAATGTTTAATCAAAAAAATAATTTTATACTTATTCTATATTACAATTTTGTTTTTTGTTTAGTAATATCTCTTATTTTTTATATCACACTTCTTTATTTCCATTTATATAATTTATTTAAAAAGTATGTATATAACATATAGATGATCAAAAAACTTAATTAAACATGATATAAAATAATGGTAGAATAATTATTACATATTTGTTTAAAAAACAGGCGATCAAGTCCACGACATTTTCTTTTCCTCTACGGACGAACATGAAGCGGTGCCGCCTTGCCATTTGCCGAAGAAGGCGCAAGAATTATTCATGCGAATACAGCAGCAGCAACGCGCGGCGCAAGACAGTTTTAAGAACATGGATAACGATTCCAACGCACGTACCGATCAAATCATCGAGGATTGGTATTCGGATGACGAGGACGATGATGACGACGATGACGATGAAGGTGGCAATCTTACTATAGTGGACAGTTCGAAGGATGAGATCGAGCCCATCGAGAAAAACCAGAACATCGTTGTCAAGGAAGAGTTTCCGCCCACGCCACCTGCGTCTAACGTGCCTCAACCGGCCGCTATTGTGGACAAATTGGGCGATTTGAGCAAGATCGACATCAGTGCCGAAGTGTCTAAACTATTATCCACTATAAAAGCTCAAAGTTCAACGAGCAACAAAACACAACAAGCGGCTAATTCAAACCAAGACACATCCAAAACTAAATTGGCTCAAGATCCCAAATCAGACAGCGAAATGTCGTCGAGTCCGAGACTATCACCGGGACCGAGTTCGATTACTGCACCCGTATCTAGGGATCCGCGCATGTCCCGAGATCCTAGGCAGCGTCGAGAAGTAGAACAGAAACCAAGCAGCCCGAGCATATCCGACGCTAAGAGAGAATCGCAGAAGCCTCTCAGGTTGGAAACGAGCATCTATAGTTCCGGTATCACTGCGATGGACGCGAATATGGACACCGATCTCCGGACGAGGGCAGATCAGGATCTCAGGCGGCAGGACATGGATTTTCGGCAGCGTTTTCAGACCACCGAGTTCGGCGACACGGATCTTCGCGTGAAATCTGACGTAGATCTGCGACAGATACTGAGTCTGCCATTCAAACCGGCGCCCGCGCACGACCCATGTACCGAGATTGACGCGAGTATCGCGTCGCATCCGCCAATGCCGTACAAAGTTTACGTGGTGGATATACCCAGACCGGACTATACCAAACTAACAAAAGAGGACGCGCAGGTCAAGTATGATCCGCGTCTTCGTAAGATCTTCCGCATTGTTCAACCCGAGCTGGCCGACTCACCAATGTCGCCGCCGCCGCCGCAGGTTAAGCAAGAGATACCAAAATCTCCACCGCAATGCACCGTTCGTACGGATCCGCGACGGAAAACGCTCGAGGCAGCCGCTTCCAATCAGCAGTCATCCTCGCAAAACGTGATCAACGCTTCCAAGGGAAGACAGCCGCAACCGATGGAAGCGATGGGACCCAATATGGGCCTCGCTCCGGTCGGTATGCAAGTGGGACCGCCACCCGGTGGCATGCCAGGTCCACCGCAGGGCATGATGGGCCCAATGGGTCCAAATTATCCGATGGGTATGGGCCCAATGAGGCCTATGATGAACCCCGGACCCATGCCGCCGCCCATGGGCATGCCACATGGCGCCGGTGGAATGGGTATGAACGGGCCCGTTCCAATGCAGTCTCAGAATCAGATGAATTTCGACCCACGTTTCAACGTGCAACGTAACAACGGAGCTGGACTGTTGGGTCCTGCGCCCTCTCCTTCCTACGAAGGCGGCCCTCCTTATCCCTGTGCTAGCAGCTACAATAATTTTGGAGGACCCGGTGGCGGTGGAACTGGCGAGCCCGGCATGATGGGATTTAATCCAAACGGATCGAACGGGCCTAGTTTTGGTCCGATGGGCGATGATTGGGGCCCGGGCAGCAATAGGCAGCGTGGCGGTCGTATCCGTCGGAGGAATCGCAACAGGACCAATATAGTGACTAATAATTGAAAGAAATAGCGGGGGAAATAAATAAGTATATATAGACTGAGCATCTGATAATAATTCTCATGAGCGATCAAACTGCAAATATGTGTATATATACATATATATATACGTTCATGTAATGTGCTCGACTGTGTATTTTAATCTTTCCAGTTTATTTTAACGGTATCAACACGAAGTTTACAGATTTATTTTATCGCGCTATAGATTTATTCTTAAATTATAAATATTTATGTAAATATATATAAATTCTCATCATCGTTGCTATTTACTTTTCGTTTATATAGGATTAAATCTATAACTACTTAAGAACTTACTCAAGAAAGTTATGATTCTAATAATTACTGTATTAATAATGATTATGATCGACAGATTGCAAACTCTAGTGACGAAGAAAACAATAGCTCGCATCGTACGTAATTCTTTAATAAATGCAGCGGGAGAAACTGCATGTAATGCTCATTTACGCACGATTTTCTACTTATATGGAAAATCTGTGCGTTCTAAACGTGCAAAACATACAGTGAACACATCCATCATTCTAATTGTAATTTGCCGCATAAAATTCTCAATACGTCGCTAGTGAAATATATAATCCGTCAAATAAAGGATATTTATAGATATATTTCGATGTGTATCCACTAGTTTATAAATAGGTTCTACGAAAAAAGACACCTAGCACATAAGTCATGCCGAAATAATTAATTCGAGAGTAAACGAGCGGAGCAAACGCGATAATAGAGACATTAATCAAGTTGATAATTTCTTTGTCTTCCATGTAAATGGCACGCTGAGTGCTTGCGATTTTTGCGTACACGTTGTCTTTGTACGATTCGCGAAGCAAGCGGTTCGTACATTGACATGACACGATCTTTACCCATATCGCGGAAACATACCGTGGAGTTGTAGAGAATCTAATGTGAAATGCAATATTTTGTAAAGAAGTCAATATATAGTGCGCGAAAGAAATTTTGCGGCATATATGATATGAGATACTTTTTTATATTAAAAAAAAAAAATATGCGCAAGCATGTAAATTCCGGTCTTGTATCGATTTTTGCTCGAAATAATATATATAGCTCATTCTTGTGCATCTCATAATGTAAACTATTATTTAGCGCCTCCATTAAATTCTTCTATAGATTTGCGTGCGGCTTCAAATAATAATAACGATAAATTCTGAATAACTCTGTGAGAAAGCAGAACAATTTCTTTAGGATTGTACGTATATATTTTCTTTAGGATAAATTTAGAAATAAATATAAAATATTTGAATCTTTTATTTAGATGTTATTAAATGTTAATCTATGATGCGATTATATTTTCATCTATCGCTACATTATGATACAGAGCAAAATTACATTTGTAAAGAATAAAGTTTACTATTATATAGTAAGATTTTTGTACAGATGATAATTGTTATTTTAAATGCAAATTCTTGCTACTTTATCTCAATGATGTAAATACTACTATATTAATTCTGTGCATTTTTTGAAATACAATTATATGATAACATGTATATATGTATATATATATATATATATATCTTATATGAGAAATGGAAAATTTTTATACGATATACAGCTTGTATGAAGAGTTGTATTCTTTTTTTTTTTTTCTAGCGCTCTCGATTGATTTTATTTTAAATTTCGAATGAAAATGAGCGGCGATTTTAACTGCACAAAATTCTACATATATTTATCAATGTAAGATGGAACTTAGGGGATCAGCACGTATCGATGATAAATCCAATCGTGCATCCATCTCGTCATCTAACTCTCCCACTATCGCTCTGAAAAAAAATAAAGGACACTTTATAATTAAATAATATTTTTAACAAATATGTGTTTATGGCCATTATTTATTTTCTTACAAATAATGATGCGGAATAAAATTATATTTTTCTATTTATATTGCGAATATTGATGTATTAATAAAAGAAACAATCATGTTATAACACGATTATTGAAGCTACTATTTGTATAATTTATTTTAAGATTATACTAACACGTTATCTCCTCTGATAATATGTAAACCCAAGACAACTTGTTCCACTCCCTGCGTTGTACTATATACCCGTTCATGTGATTCATCAAGAATTATGTTGATAGTCTGATCAAAGCCTTTTAACGTGCCCTGAAATAAAAGATTGAAATTAAGCCAAATTATTAATCGCATGGAAGATGGAGTATCACAATAAAATTTTGTTTACATGTAGAGTAATTACAATTAAATTCTTGCGATATAAAATACTCGTATAAAATAAAATATTATAAGAGAATTATTAAGAGTTTAGTAATCTTAATACATAAGAAAATAATGTAAATATGACATTGTAGCTTACTATGCTCATGTAATCGAGAATAAATATCTCAATGCGAATCTTGAGGCAATTATGAATTATATTTATGTAAATTCATGCGCGCTCGCGATTTAGCAAAATTCATATACTTACAATAAAATTCCTACCATCCGATGTGATAATGGAAACCGTATCTAGATAGTGTTTAGGTTAATATACTTCTCATGCTTTTGAAAGATAAACAAAATAAAAAGGATACGATTCATATAGCTCTCTAATCCCGACGCCATTATCTGTCAACAATTATTTAGTGAAAAATCGATATAAAACCGCATAAGTCAGCGAGTCATCGACTTCTTCGACACATGCAAATTAATGATTAGTGACAGTGACAACAGACTCCCACAGAAACTGTAGACCGCAAACTGCATTCAAACCGTAGCCATTTTGCATCATCACAAGAACTGTCAAAAAGAAACTTAAATTTCCCTAGAATTTGATTAAAGCCACATTTACATCAATGCCTTTGAACTCATTGGCTGCATTCAGAAAATACTACGGTCGAATAACCAGATTTTAGAAAAGAGATCTGATTGGTGCACATGTAGATTCAAAAATTACAATTGTTATTCAAAAATTGCACAGTCATACATTGTATTTTTTACAACTTAATGTAGCTATTAATTGAGAAAGACAAAAATTATTATATAATATGTGTAATTATTTTTATATTAAAAAGAGAAATTAAGATTATAAAAAAAAAAGAGATAAAGATTAGGTTTGCATTAGTTCATCATGTTATTTACCACCGTTTTTTTGCCGTAGCACAGGCATAACAATGGAATCATTATCGTTAAATAAACACAATTTTTTAGAGATAATAAAATAATTTATATAAAGGTCGAACACGCATCACTTTTCCGTAGTGTAAATAGACATCGTCGATGAAACAGACTCGAAAAATAATTTTTAACTGTACATCGTTATAAAATGAACAGATTAGAAGGTCATAGAACTATTGGATCGTCGTTCTATAAAAATGTATTTTTGCTCACGCAAATGCAACCACCGTGCGTCGAATTTCAGCGATACTTTAGGCAGGTACAGAAAAATATATCGCAAGGACAAATTTTTATTTACCTAATTTTATATAATATAATAAGTTAGAAATTTTTAACACAAACATCTCTTTTTCTCCTGAAAGGGTATGTTTGATAAACCTAATACGGCCGGTTTTCTGCATATATCTCATTATCTGTCAAACTTATACGACGCGGCACTTTTTAAGCAAATGGTCAGGTGGCCGACCTTATGCAAAAGGGATGAAGTAACGTATCGTATCGAGATGAAGAACTTTCTCTCCATTCTATCGCGTGATAATTCCGATGTTAATTTTCCACCAATATTGATGTCCCACCTGATTCAATCGGGAGGTACCAAGTTTCTGATTATCATGTGGAAATTATCGCAAGTCGCGCTTAGAACTTATATTAAAAGAGAATGTAAGCGATATGATAAATATATATATATGAAAAACTATAGCTCTCCCTAGTCCGGTACAATCACGATTTATCCAAGTCGAATTTTTCAGTTCAAGGAGAATTGTGGAATGCACCATGTCCAAGTCTAATGGATCATTTAGCTATAGCATATTTTAGTAATGTAATTGCTAAAAAACATAGTATTATAATAGAAACTCATAAGGAAATACAGAAAATTCATGATACCGCAACTACTTTTCTCAAGTAAAAAGTCAAATTATTTTCATTTTGTACAATGAATGAGATGTGGATATATACATCAGCTTTTATATAATTGCATTATATATTTCAGCAACGAGATTGAAATATTAAATGTGTACAAATTGGAGATTTTTGATAGAAAAGAAAATATAGAAAAGCTAGTTCTTAATACATCAGTTCATCAATTAATTCAAAAACGATTAATAGATGTGGAGGATGTAAACATCATAAGTTGTTAGTGTTCGATAAACGTTTCTGTAGATAATCTTTACTTATTAATAATTTTCACAACATTCTTTCTTTTATATTGCAGTGTGGAAAAGAAGCATTCTTGAGAAAATGCAATACATATATAAAAAAAATAAAGAATTAAATAAATTGAGAGAATCCTGCGATTATTTGTGCAAACTTGTCCTGAGGATAAGCACAAATTCTGGAAGTCTTGATGCAAAGAAGTTGCCCAAAATTAATTGCAATAATTTCTTATTACAGGTAAAATAGAAATCATATATATAAAGAAATCTAAATTATGCAAAATTATCTTTTTTTTTTTCAATTTAAGCATACAATCAACAATTTATATGCGGATAACTCTATCATTTCATTCTCCACTTTGCTCACATTGCTCTATTTGACATCTGTACAAATGTTATTTCATATAAACGCTGCTGATTTCTCAGATTTATCACCATGCTTACTATTTGTTCAAAATATTTGCAAAGAAATAAAATTTCTACACATGCTGTTTATTGCATTGAATATTAGAATTAACAGTATAGTTAGAGATGAACAATGTGATTCTCGAAAAAATGAAAATGCTTATTCCAATTCTGATATAAACAACAAATTATTACTAACTGCAAATTATAGAATATGTTTGCAATCTCCCAAGATTAATTTTAACTTCAATAAATGTGTGGATGATAATCTTTTCTATGAGAAACTGTGGTCATCACTGAAAGCTGGTGCGATGAAAGGTGTTGTTTGTTAGAATCTTATTGTATCTCAGAATTGAGCGACCACATTTCTCATAAAATTATTAACGATTCCCAGGCAAACATAAGGATCTATTTAAAAGGTACGCAGGCAAATATCGTCCATCTCACGAGTTGTCTACAGCATTATCAGACTTTAGCAATTCTTGGAACAGTATGAGCGGATGGCTGTCTCCTCGTGCACGCTCCACTAAATGCGTGCAGATTTTGTCAAATGGAAAACCACTGTCGCCCTTATATTCTCGATTGCTACAGCGTTCTAAATTGAATCTAAAACGTTCCAGAGGTTCTCTGCAATTTTAGATATTTTAACATGTTGAAATTTTGATTGCTCTCTTGCAATTTAAGATTAAATCAGTGTATTTGCTTTCAGAAAACTTATTGTACAGCTCGAGTACGAGCTACGAAGGATTGAATTTAACACCAAGGAAACGTCGCTCAACATCTGAACAAATAATAAAGAATAAATGTGATGGAAGAGCGAGGGATCTCTTTAATTCTGCTGCCACATCGTCTTTGTCGTGTGTATCCTCGAATTCGGAAAATTAACAGGATGCAGATGTTCGATGAAATTAGAATTCACAATATTGGTATCGAATATTTTCAATTACTCTAATTTGAAGAAGACAATTTTGATGATAACGTAAATTCTTAAAAGTATAGACAATATGTTAGTAATTTGAGAGAGCTTATTAATGTTAATTTATATATTGAAATGTAATGCATATGTGTGATATTATATTGCTTCATGATATATTTATTTCACTATCGTTATGTATTCCTTTGTACTTTAAGTTTGAATTTTCACATGCAGTTTCACAGGCTTTTTTCTGTAGATTTTAGCCTTGCTTATATAATACAGACGAAAAAAAGAAAATAATGAATAAACTTGTATTTCGTAAAATTGTTCGGAGATTGTTGCAATTCCTAGATCTGAGCAATATCTTCTATCATTTCCAAAAAAGAGCAAACATTATCACGTATAACCCTTTCAATATTTTCAACACATGTTCACCTCCACCGGAAGATAATCTTCAACCTATATTTTCAGAGTGCGTTCGCACTTGTCGCAAAATTATTCAGATTCGCATCTTTATTCTCTGACATTAAAAAAATTCGCCCGATTAAAGATCAATCGTAATTTCGCAATAACGTTGCGAGTATATTATACTGTAGTTTATTGCACATGACAATGTAAGAAAAAGAGAAAGAGAGACAGAAAAGTGCATACGCGTCGCGCAAGTATGGCGGTAATCCTATCAGCTGATAGCGTCCGTCGTTGGGATGACGGACCAGATTTTGGTTAATTGGATTAGCTTATAGCAAATACCCCCTTCCCCGCCACCGTCGATGACCACAGGTTGCGTGTGCTGCTGGGCTACGTTACGTATATACGATACAAATGACGCATAGACGCATAGAATGCTGATGCATTTCTTGTACGTTGACACGAGATACTACGACATCAAGGAAGAACCGAGGACGAGCACGCATCGCTGACAAGCGGAGGAGAACTCGCGGGAATGTCGCAAGGTATAGACAGAGTTCCGTCGAGTCGAAAAGTGAAAGGTTAAGAACTTCGACTTCGGCGACGGTTAAAGGAGAAACCGCGAGAGCGAGTCCGCTTTGATCGCGGATCGGCCTGCGTGAGCGGATCAATCTGTGATGAGCGACTCCGAACAGCGGCAATTGCACGTGCCTTATCGAGAATACCACAGTCAGAACAACACCAGTCCCGCGGTCACTCTCGTGGAAACCGATGCGCTGGTGGATCTGTCCATCAATAACCATAATCAGCGCCTATCGTCGCAGAACGAGCGACAGTCGCCGGCGCCGCCGCCGCCGCCGCCACCGGGGGACCTCCTGCCAGACGTCGAGTTCATTCCCGGTCTGAGCAACGACCAAACCCTAGCCATAGATTCCTCCGGGATCGACCGGGAGAGCCAGCCTCTCCTCGGTCGCTTGGAGCTCGATGTTACGTTCAACCGATTTCCAGGTTCGTCGAATTATGCTTCGACTAACATAGTTAATTATAGCGGTGTCTTCTTTTAGTGCACGCTCGTTTGTGACTCATCTAGTGACATTTGAGAATCGTGATAGTGTTATCTTGTACATAGCATTACATTTCTGTATATATTGTAGATGATCCACAGTTCACGGAACTGGTGTGGCAGGCTGAGTGTGCGATAGACAATGGGGTTTATCCAGAGAGGATATACCAGGGTTCCAGTGGTAGTTATTTTGTCAAAAATCCCGCAGGGGTAAGATGTATTTCTTTAATCTTCTTGCAAAAGTAAGGAGCTTAGACTCCATTATAGCTTCCAATGGAGCTAGTGATACACGAGCATCGCTAATCTCATACTGTTCTCAACAGAAAATAATAGGTGTATTCAAGCCAAAGGATGAGGAACCTTATGGCAGGCTGAATCCAAAATGGACAAAATGGATGCACAAGCTTTGCTGTCCCTGCTGCTTTGGCAGGAGCTGTCTGATCCCGAATCAGGGATACTTGAGCGAGGCAGGCGCGAGTCTGGTCGATCGCAAACTAGGCCTCGGCGTCGTGCCGAATACTAGAGTAGTGAAACTCGTCAGCGAGGTGTTCAATTATCCACCCCTGGATCGTCAGAAGGCACGCATGAAACAGGCTATCATGGACCAGTTTCCCACAGTGGGATCGCACTTCAATCGTATCGGCTTGCCACCAAAGATCGGTTCCTTCCAAGTTTTTGTGGACGGTTACAAGGATGCTGACTATTGGCTAAGACGATGGGAAAACGAACCCATGCCGGCGCGTTTGAGTCGAGAATTTCAACTTCATTTCGAGCGTTTAGTCATACTGGATTATATCATCAGAAATACAGACAGAGGTAAATACAATTGAGCTGCTTGCACCTGTTATAAGTTATATCGTATCTTGTTGTTTGTGTATAACAGGATAATTTTGCTCTGGTAGGTAACGACAATTGGCTGATCAAGTATGATACTAGCGTCAGCAAAAACGGATCTGAGCAGGGTGAGGTGAAGATCGCGGCGATCGACAACGGCCTGGCCTTTCCTTTCAAACATCCGGACTCTTGGCGGGCGTATCCTTATCATTGGGCATGGTTGACTCAAGCAAAACAGCCGTTTAGCGAAGTTACGAGAGAGCTAGTCCTGCCGCAACTCTCAGATCAGAACTTTGTACAGGATCTTTGCGACGATCTACACCAATTGTTTAAAGTAAATTACATTGAAGAGATTATCACATCGTGTGTGTCTTATATGCAACGATAAGTATAATTTGTTCATCTATTTCAGCAAGATAAGGGCTTTGATCGGCACCACTTTGATAGGCAAATGAGTGTGATGCGTGGTCAGATCTTGAATCTACAACAGGCCCTGAAAGACGCCAAAAGCCCAGTACAATTGGTACAAATGCCGGCTGTAATCGTGGAAAAGTATATATTCTTATTTATGTCCATTAAAAAATAGAACAAATTATACTATATATATTTGATGCATAAATGTGCTTCTATCCCGCAACATTTCATGTGCTTTATTTTATTCCAGGGCCAAAGGAAACGGTGCCCCCAGATTGTTTTCATTCTCTGACACCTTTACTCAGCGCTTCCAGAACAAGAGTCCGTTCTTCTCTTGGTGTTGAAGATAGGAGTTGAATCAAGTGTTTGTGAATCAGTGTCAGATGATGGAACTGTCCTGCCCGTCGCGAGAATAATGTGTAATGAATTATTTTTCTAAGTTTATCCTATTACACATTTCTACCTCTCTTTCTTAAGTTTTATTTCTGTGCGACTGCAGATCAATCAGGAGGAGATGGTTATCACTCTTAGGCTGTCCTCTATTTATATATATATTTAATCTCTTTTCTCTCTCAGTTTTTAATTGAGATATAAAATAAAATTCATACTATATATTGTATACAGTAAATACATATATATATGTATAATGTTAAACCACAGATTTTTTTAATGCGCTTAATGTGCGAAAGAAGTGTAAATTAGGCGCGTTTAAAGTTTAGGTATACATAATATATAACCCACAAAACAAGGCATAAGCCAAGTTGCACGCTTGAAATACATCTCTCGTGTCTTCCACATACACGTACACATTGTAGCTTGTGCCAATTGGTGAAAAGAGTTCATAGATCAACGCCTAGAGAACGACTAATGTCATACAGCTACAATTTAGAGAAGTCGAAAGACAAAATATCTTATATTCTTCTATATTTGAGGATATAAGATATTTTTTTTTTTATCTTTTGCATCAAAATGTGACGTTAGTTTGTCACAAGAGGTGTCGATTATTAAATACTTAAAACGCTGTATACAATTTTTTAAAGTTAAACTGTGATCTTTCGCGATACACACGTCGTGTCACGTGTATTGATGAACGAAAAAATTCCACGTAGTTATAACAACGCTCTAACCATTAAGTACAAATTAAATTGCTACTGAAATACATGGACGAAATAGAGTTTCTAGTGCAATTTTTATGGTATTTTTGCCTATTTTCTTTTTATATTACATATTTCGTTTTATCTATGAGAAAAAAGAATCAAGCGCAATCATATTCGAATCAAAATTCATATCACAGATGGTATAAGCAAATGATTGATATCTCGAGAAGTCTCGATAATATATTTTTCCGGCGAGAATATCACGAAGTTAGTTTCTGTACCATGTTGTATGCATATGCATGTCATTTTATTAGATTTTTACAATGTTACAAACTTTAACTCTACAAGATACATAATATTATTTTTAATGTTTTGATATTTATTACAATATCATTTTTTATGCAGAGGAATATTAATGCAATTGTGCATTGCATACATATATGTATGATACGGTAAGAAGAAAGGAGGTCATCTAAAGCTGCAATATGGAGGTTGTTGAGTCTTGTTCGAAGAGGAAAGCCTTATCATCTGCTAAAACAACGTGCCCATGCAAGGCTAAAGTAATCTTTATTTCACCTTGCAAACTCAATTATTTCTAATGATTTTTATATACAATGCTGAAATCCATTACTATGATTGATATTTCGTATGCAATGTTGAATTTTTCATTATAATAATTAATTGCCCAGTCAACAGTCATTAATGTATATTTATAATTTACAATTGTTACTAATTATTATTATTTCATATTGTAATATAATATACGATCGATTATCTTATATTTACGATTATTATATAATATTCGTACGCGCATACAGTATGCCAAAAGATATGTGCAGCCTCCGCGTGCAAAGTCCTTCGCACCGGAGCGAATGTATAAGCTGCCGTCAAAACAACTCGAGACTAGTACAACTTATCATTTGTCGTATTTAAATGTGGATCCGCGTTATGCGCGATCGCAACCGATTCGGCCCGTTCACAGTCTTCAAAGCAGTACCGGAAAATTTATCGACGAGACGACGAATCAATTATCTTACAGGCCCGTATGGCAGATTGTTAAAGCGGAGCCAATTATACCAAAACGTAGGTGGGTAAGAGAAAAGGATGAATGTATTTTATATCTTTTTGCGCCGTTAATATATTCGCAATGTGCAAAAGGAAATTATTTTTTATACAGGCACGAATGTCTCTACTGAATAAGAATATCAAAATTTTATTATATTTTTTGTATATTCTTTTTACACTTTTTACATTTATTAATAATTTACCATTATACCTGGATAGAAACACAGAGAAAAATTAATAATTATCATTAATTATTACTAATAATTATTATATGATAAATTATTATTTTAATTCTAACGTAAAAACAAAAATTAAAGATAAATGTAAAAATTACCAATAACATGTTTGCGCATACAAAAGAAAGTCTCTTCAATTATTATTCATTAATTGAATTTTCTAACTTTACAAATTATATTTATACAATAATTATATTTTATTTATTAGAATGACAGCTCCGGGTGTAATGGAAACCGTAACAACGGTTCGTCGCGATTATACGCCAAAGCATGTCGAGAAGCCGGAGATGATTATACCCTGCGGAAGTATCCGCACAAGTTCAGCACCCTTAGATGACAGAACGATGACGAGACTATCATATATTTCTCCTGGATCTATTGAACCTGCAATCAGTTTTAAGCCGATAATAAAATATTGTCCACCGAACCAGCCGCTATTTAGAGAGACGACGCAGAAGCTGAGCTATCAACCCTTTGTCGTTGATAAGAAGGAACTCTATCCCTGGGCGCAGAAACGGGCGTATAAGTATGTACCGTGCATAAATCTTTGAATATTATACATTTTGTGATACGGTTACGTAATAATAAATTAATAATAAAATATACATTCAATTGTAATAACATAAATTATTTTCCATAACGTGTTCCATGACGTTTATCTGTGTGTAAAAAAATGTTGATTCAAATATATATGACTTTATTTCTGATATTAATTAAATTCTCTTGAGAATATATAAAGTAATGAAAATTAAATTCTTTATGAGAAATAATATAAATATATAACAATATCTGTCCCTATACAAAATCTGTCTTTACGTTTTTTTCTCCTTTCTTTTTATGCATGCGTTGGTATAATATAAAAAACAATATTAATGTATTTTAACTCTATTTTTAAGACCTCCAGATATTGCAATGTGTGGCAAAACTACTTATTCCGAGAGCTACATAGAGAACTACGCGGCTTCAATGGAAAAACCTTTTCTTCCTATGGCGGCATATATATTTCCATACGGTGCCGAATTCGCGAATAAAACTATTTACAAGGAGAGCTATCTGCCAGGTGATGCGGAGCGCGTGGAGCCGTTTATTCCCTGCGGCAGTATCTCTATCCCCGACGTAAAAATGGCCACCGATACGACCAACAAGGTGACTCCTCTCTTCTCCGATTATGCCTGGATAAAAACAAACAATGGCGTGCCACCTTGTAGTTGAGTTATCAACGAGTCTGGACAGAGAGGCGGAAGCCGTTCGTACCCCCGCGCCCTAGGGATATAACAGCCGGTAGAATGCAATCGGAGACGACGACTCGTTGCGAATATGTAACAAAAACGACATTGCGTCCAGACCTCGTCATCCCGTGCGACAATATTCGCATCGCCGACGTACCGTTTGAGAGAGACACGACTACCGGGTTGTCTTACGTAAAACTCGATGCGATAAAACCCGTTCGCAGTTATAAGCCCATAGTTACGCAATATCGCAGGTAAGATGGAGAAGCGTGAAAAAAGGTTTATATACACTGGTGTTCAAAGAAAGTGCATCACCCAATTAGCTCTGAACTATTGGCATTGTGTGGTATCTGCAGTTGCCAGAAAGAAACCAAAGACCTTTCGTGAACTTCAGGAAGCGATAATTCGTATTTGGAATCACGAATTATCAGTTGAATATCTTCAAAACTTGATCTTGTCAATGCCTCGACGATGTGCTGCTGTTATTAAGGCCAGAGATGGTTCAATTAAATATTAGTTTGCACTTAGTGAATTTTTCATTCTATTTTTTATTTAAAATGATAAACTGAAGCAACTTGAGGGCTTTTGATAATATTTCAGTCATTGTCGTATTTATAAAACTGTTGTATAAAGGTTGCGAATACTCAATTTGGAATATTTTAAAAGCACATGTCAAATATTAGTTAGTTTTGCGTTAACTATTAATAAATACTTTTGTTATTCTTTATATTTCTACTGTATTTTGTGATGCTTGTCATTAATAAGTAACATACTGTACTATCGCGAAAAATGATGAGAAATGTGAAATTCCTAAGTAATGCACTTTCTTTAAACACCAGTGTATATACCAAGTAAAAAAGGACTACAAACGACGTCTCTATGGAGAAAAAAAAAAAAAAGGAAAAAAAACGAGAAGAATTTATTTCCTCTCGGGAGAAGAAAACTTTTCAACTGAAAAAAGAGACGTCTAATTTAAACTGTGTTCTTACGATGTGTTTAGCCTATTTTTCAAATGCGAATTGTTGCAATTTCAATTCTGCAATGCATCCCACTTTGTCCACAGGCCGGAAATTAAGATAGATTCCGAAACGATAAATAAATTATCGTATCAGGCGTGGGCGTCGAAATCCAAAGAAGAATTTCCGTGGGCCCGAAAGATTAAATATCGGCCGCCCAAACATCCGATGATCAGCGATACGGTCTATCACATGAGTTATCCCGCACCGGGCCATTATATCGAGGACAATACGTGCGTAGAGTGCCCGTGTCCAATTGATGAGCAAGATGACATTTCTATGTCTACTGCGGCAAGAGCAGCATCTTAAATATTTTTGAATTAGATACAATATACACTTGCTGATATATTATACATCATTTTAATTCATTAACGATCTATTTTCAGGATAAAGATTCTTTATATATTAGATAAAATAAAATTACTTTAGGGTAAAACAAAAATTACCAAATTTCTTTATAAATTTTCTAAAAAAAGAGATTATCCTCATGTATGTTCTCTGAATATACTAATATTTTCCGGAAAAGAACGATTGCTTCAATTAGAATTGTTAACTAAAATTCTTTACACCGTATGTTAAAAAGATTCTAATGAGTTAATATCAAAAATGAATAAAAAAAGCAGGATTAAGCGGATTTATACATTTTGTTCTTCGAGAATCATGATAATTCTGTTCCAAGTACGCAGCAATAAATAGCCGGTATATTGATTTACAATGTACTTTATTGCGAAAACATGCATGTTATGTCAAATATAGCAATGTAATAAACAAGGAGATGTGCATATCAGTAATATAATAGTCATTTCTCGCTTAATCGTTCTCGATAATAAAATAAACTCTAATTTTCAATAAAAAGAACAATAGACAATGATAATGTCTATATTTACTCAAAACACACATTCTTGTACATATATAATAATATAAAGATAACGTTGTGTGTGTATTCCTATTCGCGACGGATTTGTGTTTTACATTATGGATACATATATAATAATTGACAGATTTTCTGTTAATATATGCATAAGACATATATATATAAGGGAAGAAAATAGACCATAGTAAGTTAACTTTAAGCTTACAATGTATACGTGCGTGTCTAAAGTTGGATCTGCTCTGTATACATCTCCTTACTCTCTCTTTATACATTCTCTCTTTCTGCTCTAAAAATTAGATTATCTGCTAAATAACGCATATATGAATTTCCGCGAAAAGTCATCTTTTCGGAAGATCATATATGTATATATAAAAATCTAATATTGCGGGGATAACGCTTAAGGTATAAAATAAAAACTAATTAAAAAATTGTTACAACTTATTTTCTTAAATTCGCTAGAACTTATCGAAAAATTTAAGAATACAAGGTTTAAAAAACTATAAAGCACTTAAAAGATCATATCAAATTGTCACATTATTATAATGCATTCTTCGCGATTTGATCTGATCTTTTCCTAAAACTCAAATCGAATGCAACTAGAGCTTTTTAACTGGATTTTTCTTTTCATTCAATATCTTTTTCCAAAAATCCACACATTCAATTGTAACTTGACTATGCGATCATGTATATGTATATGAAGATGATTGTCTATTTCTTTAATTAACATTTCTTGTACTCTCAAAATCTCTTCGGTGAATATCTAGCTTCTATATCTAATTCTTCTAAACGTATTTTTAAATTTGAAGGTAATAATAACATTATTTTCTTTTATATAGTGTTCTCTAAAAGTGTAAAAAATCAATTTGCGACTATCAAATATTTTTTGAATTATCATTAAACATTAAAAAAAGAAGAAAAAATGAGCACATTTCACAGATTATCCGCTAACATTTTTTCTACAAAATGATATAAGCATTTAATAAAAATAATTCTTATATATACATGAATTTATATATATATATATATATATGTCATACAATGTATAGATATGAATTAAATTTCTATTCTTATATATAAGGTGTGTAATTATATTTATAATTACAAGAGCCCTCTTAACGCTATGTCATAGATAATAACAATCTTTGTACGTAGATTTCTTTATATCCTACAAGAATTTAAAATAAAGTCGTTAAATGATAAAGTTGAAGGAGACATGAAGAACGTAAGAAAAAACAAAGATTCGATAAAATATCATCAAAACATCAACTGTAGTGCGAACACAAAGAAGTAATTTTTGGTGTCGCTTTCTCACTAGTATAAATTCATTATATGTAAATGTGTAAGAAATAAAAGATTAGAAGAGGAGTAGAAAAAAAGCATTGACCGAACGTCGAAGGGTTCTCCGTTTTTCGATTCAAAAAGTTATATTTACAAAGAGGGAAGAATTCACACAAGATTTTCATCCCAACACAAAATATTGTGTAAAAATAATTACGCGCGAAGATATTTTCACGCGTATCAGCATGTTTTGTGCAGATATTCTCAAACTTTATTACACTTAGGCGCGATTTGTGTGCATGATCAACAGATATATATTACTATTTTATATAAATGTATATACAGTGATTCCCGATTGTAAGCATACATTGCTCAGCTATTTTTCACTAATAAGACACCGGACTTGTTCTCCAGGAATTGCTCTTTGTCAGCATCAAAGCTTAATCGTTTAAATCAAATAATCGGCTGAAGCTTTAGAATCGCTCTGTCAGGAACCGCAGGTTCGTTTGCTTACAATGGAATCAAGAATCGTATCTACAACCGGGAGTCTCCCACTGTATATATAGATATAGATATATGCATGTGTAATATAACACCCTTCTAATTCTGGAATGATCGAATTCTTCTTTTATTTTGAAATCTTCCCTCAATTCTCCCACTCTAATGGCACATGTACGGAACGAAAATACCATCGCTCCGCATTTTATCTTTCACTCGCTTTCTCACTCTACGCATAATTAGATGACGAATGAGTAATAGGGGAATAGCGCAAAAGGAAAATTCTAAATTATTCAAAATGATGCGAAATTCAGAATAAAGAAGACGATTGAGAATAGCGAGGTTCTCATAACAACTCTTACAATTTTTTTTTTTTACAATTTTCTAAAGATGTAAGAAAGCTAATTCTTTCGTAATTATGTTTGTGTGTATATGAGTACGAATTGTTCTTATAAAAAAAAAAAGGAGAAAAAAATATAGTTTACATATTTCACTTTAAGATACATTAATTCCCTCCCTGTATTAAATAATAATTCACGTATCATTGTATAATATATATATATGCTGTTGTTTCGCCAATTTGTGTAGAACGTAAAACTGACAGAGATCGAAGAAAGATAAAGATCAACATCGGGCTTTATGACGATTATCATTCGCATACCTTTTATTGTGGCTTGATAGCGTTGTACGTCGATACGTCGGTGAAGTCCTGCAAGTTGAAGTTGAAGTTCTGCAATTGGTCCAGGTTGAGATTTTCATCGATCGGCTGCATCAGTTCCATGTCCAAGTCCGAGCTTGGTTGTCCGATGCTTGACTGGCCGAGACCCGGAGCGTAACTATCACAGATCAAAACACATCCCCAATCACTGGCAATCCGCTGGTAATAAATTATCATAAGCTATAAAAATCTCTTTCTCTCTTTCATATTTCTTTTTTTCCTTTCTTTTTTGAAAGAAGTGCGTGTGCTTCTATCTACTATTTATTTTTTTAGAGATGACCGATTATAGCCGGTATAGCCGATACAACATGGCAAAAAGGGGAATACGAATGACAATCATAAGAGCCCCGTCCGAACCAAAGTAGTTAGTACATCGGTCACTTGTTCTCGAGAAAAGCAAAAGAGGAAGTCGTGGTTTCGAATGGTTTGTTTCTCCTTCAATCCTTTGCGACTCGTGCATAGCACGAGGCAATAAAATGACGATACATGTATATTTTGATGAGTTTGCAAATAACGACTTTACTCAATTGCCAGCTGCGAGTGATTGGAGCTGTATTTCGCAGGATAGTATCAAATTTTTGGTGTTGTACCGGCTTTTTCCGGCTTTCTTGGATACAATTGTTATACTTAAATTGGGACTTTCGTCTATCCCATTCGTGGTAAATATGCATTCTTTTCAATACACGAATGTTTACGCTCGTACACATTCTATATATACAACATTACGAATTAACAATATGCAAGAATTCATAATATAAAAGCTATATATTATATGTTAAGGGGTTGTGCCTAGTCAGAAGGTCGAAAAAAAGACGAATTTTTGGGAATTCGTTTTTTGAAAAAGCATATAGCATATTTTTTTTTACAAAAGTTTCTATATTCAAAAAAGTTACATTTGACAAAGTTACAGTAAAATTTTGGTGCAAAAATATTAATTTATAACGAAGTTATAATGTCGATGTCCGTGAAGCGTTTATTCCAGTGTTTCCGTTTTGCGAACCACTACTGTTAACTGGGTTATCTGCAATCAAAAATTCGAGAAAATTTAGTGAATATATTAGTTTATCTACTCTTTAATGGTTCTCTGTTACAAAAAATTAATCTGCGATAAAATGGCGACCACTTAAAATGAAATTACCGATTTTCGTAAAAAAAAACCGCTCATTTTTCGTCTATAAAAACTGCACATTGAAAAAAAGATCCTTCGTTCAAAATCTAGATTTTTATGTTTAAAAGAAGCTTGCAAAAATTGAAATAAATTGGTGCAGCGGTTTTCAAAATATATATTGGTCACCGACTTTAAAAACGTGGTTGTGAGAAAAACGCGTTTAAAGTTTCAAGTAAAAAATTTATTTTTCAACTTACACATAATCATCTATTCCAGGCCCATACAGTAGGCCTTTTGCTGCAGCAGTTGCTGCCTCCAAAACATCAATTTGCTCTTGCCGACGACGCATTCTTCCCTCCAGAGTATTCTCTTGCACGCGGCGGTCAGAGATCTTTATGCGGGCAGTGTCTTCTTTCTCCGCATATTTATGGACGTTTGGGCAGCTTACTCCGATGAATTGTAGCATTTTCAATAATACACCTGAGCCTTCATTAAATACACAAGCAGCGATGTATACGGCTATACTGAGGCACGCACTTATCACATAATAATAAAATTTTAAATCCGAGGCCGCGCGCACACTTGCAATTTGTAATTTAACATTTCCATCACACTGTTTGCACTTAACAAAACTTGAAATTGCAGCAAATACGATGATAAAGTTCAAAATTGTATATTCTATTGTCTTGCAGCACAACAAACTCCTTTTGCATCTTCAATTTTTTCGCAGATGCACTAAAAGTACTTTCCTCATGCTCCACCGTTTTCGGATTAATCCTTTGCTTCCTTTTTCTTGATCTTGATTTTCGAAGATTTTCTGTCTCTCGAGTCCTTTTTACGATCCATAATTATTTAGAAAATAGAAAACTACAGAAGCGAACGTTCGACTGGGCAGCTCAAACTGCTATACTGCCAGCGTCTCCGAGTTTCGTGTACGTTGGTCTGAAAGTCTTTTGAATTTGCTATTATACAGTTTATAAGACTTTTCGTACACACTAATACAAGCAGCATACAATAAATGGCTCACAAGTAGGTAGGAAGAGACAACGTTTTTCCTAGCGCAGCTACCGCATTATACTTGCGCGGAGCGCTTCGAGGAACATATATTTAAGATTGTATATCTCCAACAAATTTAAACGGATTAACTTGAAACTTTCAGGGAATATTTCTAACATTATGTACTTCGAGAGAAAATGTGAAATTTCCAAAACCGAAAATTTCTGACTAGGCATAATCCCTTAAGCCATAATATAGTAAACCGTTGCATTCGAAAAGTGAATAGTAGAAAAATACTTGGCAGTCGAAAAATTAATTACGCATTAATGATTTTTCTGATTGGTCCACAATTGAGATAATTATACGATAGAAATTGTTAAGATAAAATTGATTTATACAACAATAGAGATACGATCGATTTTTTCTATTCTATATACATACATATGTATGATCAGAACTGAGCGTTTTCTCTATTCTAAAACATTCTCTCGGACGACATTTTTACTAATGATGTATACAAATGAAAATGTCGTTAAACACGTTCTATCAAAATAACATAGTTATGTGATCACAAGATAAATCTGAATAGTAAACAGTACAAAAAGAAAATCCTGGAATTTAGAAGAAAGCTGATTTGTAATAAAAAAGAGCGAGAATAGAGGAATGCTGAAAGAGAGAAGAAATTGATTGCCAACTGCATCTGCTCTAAAATAAAGTGTTTATCTTCACAATGATAAGTTTAAAAAGGGAACGAACTAATGAGAGTCAAGAAAACAAAGTGCGAATAATTATCTTGAACAAACTCCTTTAATTATCTAAATAATAATTTCGGTCTCCTTTTTTTGGACCATCTTCAGTAACTGTTAACTAAATAATACATGTCATGTTTCTCTGTATGATATGTATTACTTTGTTAATAATTATTAAAAATGATTCGAAAAGGGAACGAAACGTTTATATCTGGATAGTTAAAGGAATTTGTTGAAGATAATTACTCGCGTTGTTTTTCACGCTTGGCTCTCTTTAATCCATTTCTCTCTCTTTTTTGTTTTTATGTTATTTACTAAAGTCTTACATTTTTTTTGTACAAATTTATTTAGAAATTTGAATTTTTTGTTATAAATCAAATTATTCGTACAATATAGATACTATAGTTATTTTATACACACTAATGTCAAAAATAAACAATAATAAAAATTCGAATAGAAAACAGAGATCGAACTTTTAATACCAATTATACAACTTAATGCATTATTAACAATATTTAAAGTTAAAATATAATTGTATATAAAGGCACTTATATATTTGAAATATTATATAGTTTAAAATTTTTCAGATAAATTTATTTGAAATAAATGATCTTAAAGCGCATAAAAAGAAGAAAGATGCACTAAATGTTCCTTTATAATCACTTTTTTGTCTTCCTAGATTAGGCAATTCCACCACTCTGAATATCGCAGCGTGCTTCGCGCGCGCAAGAGAATAAACTCACCCCTACATCGCAAGTAGTATTCAACCGCCAGGGGAGAGAACGCGGAATAGAGCGCTAATAGCCACACAGGCAATTAAACGCGGCGAATACATAAATACACGTCATTAACTCGCCGCTCAAAGAGTTTGCCGGGGCGATTAAGGCCTTTTAAGGCCCAGCGCACGCCATTCATCCGGCCGCGGGGACCCTTCGTTGTCGAGATGCAATTTTCGAGCTTTTTCTATCCGCGCCTACACGCACACGCGACATATATGTGTATTAGCTTACTGATCTCAAAGTCCGCGTTTCTACTTTCGTTGTCAAAGATATCGGGGATTGTTCGCGGATTCTCGACAATTCTGGGAAAGTTGTAAATAATACAAGAGAGAGGCGAGTTTTATTTTACAGATATCAACGAGTGAATTTTACGACTCTGTTAAATAGATTAAAGAATTTCTCTCTCACGATACGCTGAATAATATATATTTTTATCTTCCATTGAATTCTCTATTTATCTCTATTATAATCGCGATACAATTCGCTATTCAACGCGATATCTCCCTCTAACTTGTATGTATATGTTGGTGTATATTTTGAATAAAATAATCTTACCTTATATATATATATATATATATACGCTCTCTTATGATGAAATACTACGACAGTTTAATAAATTAATATTTAATGTATAAGGTCAGTGGGGCACAAATAAAAACATAAGCAGTAAGATAATGAAGCAGTAAGCAAACCAATTTTCAATTTTTGATTTGTTTACTTTACTGCTTCATAATCGATTTACTTACTATTTATGACTTACTGCTTACGTTTTTGTATGTATGTATCACTGGTCTAATATAATGCCCTTTAATACTAAATTTATAGATAGTTGGTCCAATTACTGTGATTATTGGACAAAATACTAAAACAATAAATATATGCATCGTGAGAAGATACAACAAAAATAATCAAAAATAAAAAAGAAAAGACGAATATTAACAACAATTTAACATGATCATCATTGAATGACCGAACCATCGTATTTTCATACATATTTTAAACATTTTGATAAATAACCGTTATTTGTGCACTTTCATTCTTTTGATAAGACTAGTAGGGAATAACCCATTATCAATATATACAATATCATCCACAAAATCAATTAGATATAATTTGTCGTATATTTCGATGCATATTGATTTCTTCTGTCGTAGCTAAATTATAAAACTAAATATACCGTAAAAATGTCTACAAAAAGTATCCGCAAAAAAGTACCTACAAAAAGTTCGTGTAACTACCACTATATTTTTTTACAAAGTTTTGTGTCAAAAAATCTTTATGAAAAAAAAGAAAGAAAAGAAAGAATACTGATGGTTTCTATTTGGAGATCCAGAGATATGCAAAGTGTGAGCTACTTGCAAGGAATGTTTCACAATTCTCGTTCTCTGCGAATTTACTGATTATATCTCTTGAAATTACCTCACATACATTTCATTATCTTCCATAGGTACATCCCATAAGTATATTGCATATCCTGGTATAATTAAAATATATTTCAATATACAATAAAATAAAATAAAAAATGAAATCTTTTATGTTATCAAAAGTAGAAAAATTCATAAACAAGATTTAACAACGATACATATTTAATTATATTGCTCATTTTTGAAACTATGGTTCAAAAATATCAAATTTTTCTATCTTAGGTTATTAATCACAAAATACAAGGAATACAAAACGTCCGGAAAATCGTGCTACAAGAGACGAGAAAGCGATTTATCGAAAAAGAAATACAAGAAAAAATACAGAATATCTTTCTCATTATCCGAATAAAAAAAAATTATTTTCCTCAAAAACTGCACGATTAATAAAAAAATGTTACATACTTTTATTCGGTTTATTGAACATGTGCAGTCTGAGATTCGTTTCCTTTTCAAGGAGATAACGAGATATGAATGCGTTTCAACGAGCGTATCTAGCTATCTCTATCTTAGCACCAATTAGATTATCAATCGGAATCAATTCGAAAAATTTAGTCAAGATTGTCGATTGGGTATTACCCAAGAGACTGACCTTGATGCTACAGACGGCGTGTCCCTTACAGAAGGATCGGGGCTGTGCGTTTGAAATATGGTCTGCGGAGTGGCGGGATAGCTTCCGCTTGGTGCAGCTTGGCTGTTGTTATTTATCCCCCCTACGGAGGAATGAGACGGCGTTTGACCACCGAAGCCGGGCGTGCTCCAAGCTGGTACCTGCGTTACTAATTGTGGCTTGATATACCCATTCGTCGATGCTTGCTCTGCAGAAATCAATTAATTATTACTGATTAATTCACTTAATAATAAATTAGATAAATTGATTCGCTACAAAATGCGACACCTACCACTAACTGGTGTACAGTATTTGGAAAAAACCTGATCTTTATTTAGATTTGGATAAAGATATAACAAGTGTTGTAAATCGTAAATGCGGTCGGCCAAGCTACGAATGGCGAAATCTTTGCCTGTAAATGGCTGCAACATAAAAACTTGATCCTTTTGCTCTGAAAAAACATTGAAGGTGTAAGAAATTAATGATATGACGTACATATCAGCATAAAAATCACACATAATAATTTGGTATTTGTTTCGATACTTTACCTCCAACCCATGCGATAGTAATACCACCGAGTTCAGAATCGGAAAATCGCATCAAGAAGGTGCCTGCCTGACAGTTTGCCAGTATCTCTTCCGCTTGCTTCTTCCGGACGAATCCAAGAATGCATCCATCCACCCATGGATTTTTTAAATGTTCCCTGGTCAACTTCATGATAGCATAGAACCATTCCCAAAACGTGAAGCTTCTCTCGGGCAATGGTTCCTTACAGAATTGTGCCCAGCTCAGCGGTGTATTCGAATAATCTTGCGGTACAGTACCACGGAATGCTTTCTCCGCAAGAAATCTGAGATGGTCCGGAGTCAAAGCGCGACCAGTAGCCGCGCGAAATTTCATGTTTAGGGCTTCCGCTACTTGTCGCCATAGTACTTTATCAGGTACGAGAAACGGCACTCTCCCTGCTTCAGAGAAAGCATTATCCCAAGTAACTGTGGCCCAAGCATGCGGTTCTTGATTCCCGTGTACAATTACGACTACGGGCAGGCTCAGGGTCCAAACATGGAATACTAATTCGCCGCCGCCGACAGCGAATGTCGATTGGAAAAGTAACGAGAATTTTTCATCCATGACGGATTCTGTGCCCTTTTTCTCGGCTCGTTTAATCTTCTTCAACTGCATGTTGCGAAAGCTCACCGATAGTTGTCCAACCGTCTATACGAAATATTACGGAAAATATGTAACAATATTTTTAATTATCTACTTTATATTATTCAGAATGTCTACTCATATTTTGTAAAAAAGATTACCTAGAAATTCCAGGTATTTTTATTTAAAATTACAGATAAAAAAAATTTTTTTAATTTTTTGAAATAAAACTTTTTATTGTATGCCTTTTCTAATGCTTTTCACTTAAACACAGAGCCATTTAAGTTTCAAGTGCTGCATTTTGCAAATTTACTGAAAAAAGTGAATAGCTTTCATATAATAAATATTTTTCACATTTTCTTTTTTAATTTTTTGAGTCTCAATAAAAGTCTATGAAAATTCCCTTATTTTTCCAAGTATAAAAAAATCCCTGAGAATTCCAAGTTTTCCCAAGAAGTAGACATTCTATTACTGCGCGCGTGCACACACATTTATAATATAAAATTAGTATTAAATATTCTCGCAAACCTGATGAAATTCCATCGAGCCAGTGTTATTTAAAATTTCGCCGCTGACTTCACTATTCTTCATTTTGTCATTCTTCAGTAAAGCATTCGCTTGCGATTCGCTAATTATGCTCGCTTTTACTTGCGGCGGTGTCATGTGAACATTCAATTTAGTGCCAACGAGAAGGCGTACCGTGCTCGTAAAACGAGTATTGGTCTTCATGACTTGCGGCGGTTGTTTCTCAATGATAAAAGTACTTGTAACCAACGAACTGATTAATTGCGTAATTTGGGTATTTAAAGTTGGATACATATTCGGCAGCATCGAATTCCCTTCAAACGGCTGGAACTTTTCCTTTAGACGTTCCCCATCTTTGATGTGTTGCCGAGTCGACCAGATTACATCAGCGAGATTTTCGCACCAATTCTGAATAACGTCCAAATTACCAGAAAAATTTACCCCATTACCCGCTAACTGTTGATCTCTCTTCCAACTGTAAAATATTAGAATCATATTTTAGAATTTGACAAAATCACATACATAAACATATACATATTTTATACATGTTATTATTTTACCTGATAAGTTCCTCATCGAGAATTCTCGATTGTAATATACTCAGTTTAGTAATGGTATCTTTCATTCTATCAATAGATTGCACACGCAAGTGTACTACACAAGCTACTTTGTTAGTCAATGTCATCTCCCCGTCTTGTTTTTGTCTAGAATTTGAATAATTTTTAGTAACAAAATTTGTGCGCCAAATACTTTAAAATCTCCTCTTGATAGAGTACCTATTTAGATTATTGTACCTTTTGAGTTTTTTCTCGATTTCCATACTTTGGTGATTATGTGACTGCGAAGTAGAGATCTGCTGTAAAGTAGCGTTTAACTTTGTACAGTCATGATAAAGGATAGCAAAAGCTTCTTGTTCTTCTTCAATCCTTCGTACAAAAGTCGCATTTTCGCATACATTTTGCCGTAAACTTCCGAACTGTTCTTTTATTTGTGTGAGCGAATCGTTTATTACTATATTCATCTTATCATTATTCATAAATGTATGTGTATTTCCTAAGTTTTCAGCTCGTGCCACAAGTTTCATTTCCGTATCTAAGCAGAACTTAATTGTAAGAAACAGCCTCAGTGGATCTTCACTATATTTTTGCTGAAATGTAAGTATAATATAAGTATAATCGATTAAAAGCTAATACATCTAAATTCAATTAAATTACAAAATATAACACAAGACAATATAAAAAAAGATATATATAACTTACACGAAATATTTTAGCAGTCTCTATCAACTTTAATTTTATCAAAAACAAATCTCCATTGTGTATACTATTTGCTTTTGTTTCTAACTCTTGTATCAAAGATGCAATAAGTTCAGATATATATTGCTCATTATGTATATGCGATTCTATATTCCTAGAATAATTAATAATTAATGGATTAATTCAAAAAATAAAATTAGGAAAAATTCTGAAAATAAATATTAAAATGTACACGTGCAACGCAAACTAAATAGAACAATTCAACTTTTTATTAGAACTGATAGTTGCATTATTATTATGTGAGATATTGAAATGCCTTAATATATGAATATTTCATATAGGATGTATGTATGCAATATACAGTTACATATACGTATATTAATATATAAATATATATGATGGAATTATTTTATATTAATATATAAATATAGTTGCATATTATTTAATATATAAATTGAGTGTTTGGGAGGTGTGAAAAAAAGAAATAGCATGGAAGGAAGAAGGTCAGGATGCAGGTAAAAAAAAAAAAAAGGGAAATATAAAGGATAGGAAGATTGACAAAGATGAGATTCAAGACAAGTGCTACAAGGATATAAAAGGCAAAGAATTTGCCTAAATATCTAAAGAAAGGATAAAAGAAAAACAGGTAGAAGAAGGTAAGGTTCTCAGAAACTGGAAAATGAAATGAGAGAGGAGATATTGAGAAAATGAAAAGAGAAAATGTAGGATGTGTAGAAAAGTTAGATCTGCAAATGTACATAAAAAAACTGAATAACTTTTGTAAAATAAACATACATATTTAATATTTTATTAAGATATTGAATATATATATATATATATATATATATATTATTTTAAAACATAAGTCACACAATTTGACTTATTGACGGATTGTCTACTGCTTACAATATAAGAGCAAAATTATTAAAGAGAGAATTTTTTTAAAAAATTCCCTGAATTTCAATAAAATTCCATGAGAATTCCCTGATTTCTTCTTATACAAAAAAATTCCCGGAAAATTCCAGGTTTTCCATTTCTTTCCGGGATTAGACATCCTGGTAGATCCTTCTCGTAAAGACTTCTCCGACAAGCGAAATGTAATCGTGAATAAAAGGACGATTAGAAGTACTCGACGTAAAAATTGATTGGTCAGACACTCGACTGCGCGTCTCGATTAAAGTTCATAATATATTTTAAACATATATTTTCACTTGGTTTGCCGACTCCTTGCAATATAAAAGCAAAACAAACAAAGAGAGAATTTTCTTAAATTTGCTCCAATAAAATTCCATGAGTATTCCCTGACTTTTTTATGTACAAGAAAAACCATCGAGAAGGTTTTCTATATCTTTTCACAAAGAATAGACACTCTCCATCTATTTATAAACTTAATGTTTATATCTCATACTTACAATAATTTTTCTTCTATCCATGATGATAAGAAATGTCTCACTTCAATCGGAAATGTGTTGTCTGTATACACAGAGCGTATCTCTTCGAGTAATTCTTCTGGCAATTGTTGTGCTCTCTCCCACAACGACATACTTTATAACGATGTTAAACTCTCTTTAAAAATATCCATTATGTTACATTGTGATTAAATAGTCAATTTTTATTATTATATACATAAATTTATTTTTGTTATGTTAGTAATTAGAAGTTGCATAATAATAAGAAAGCCTCAAACAAGCAAAATATCCAAGCATTATGTAAGCTGTTATTTTATGGTAGCATCAAATTGAAAGGCAACAATTTACCAATGTATAATTTGGCCCAATATTGGGGAAAAAAAAAAAAAAAAAAAAAGAAAAAATTAACTAATAAAAAAAATTATATATAACAGACAAATACAATCATCTCACTTTAATGAGAGGCGAATAAAATTCTGATTCTCCTTCGAATTACGAGCAAAACATTGTAAAAAAAAAGGGGGAAAAAAAAACAAAACTGACCAATTCTTATGAAACGTAGTTCGTAATTCGCCGCGGTGCCGATCTGCTCATCGGCTCTAGCTCTCGCGATAAATGCTTACTGCGTACGAGATACTTGCCCCGAGAGAAGAACGGAGATGCGCAGAAATTTTACGCGCGGACAAATTTCGTGCGATGGTCGTGAAACGGATGAGAATCGCGCGGGAGCTTACGAGATAGTCAAGGCATGACTATGTCGAGCGCGAAATCGTACTTTCCTGAGAAGAAAAAAAAAAAGGACATGTATTACGCTGCGTAACGCGTAGATAAGAGAGAACGGAGCGGAAACGCGAGAAAAAAAAGAAGGGAGGGGGGAATAAGAAGAAGATGGAGAAGACGAAGCGAGCAAAAAGCATTCGATGACTACTGTGGCAACTGGCAACTATTCTAAAAGTCGATGGACTTTATCTACTCACCTTCTCTCTCTTCGATTTCGTAACAATCTCCGGCGGAGAGGTAACACGCACAATTGCGTGTTCGCCACCGCCGCCGCCGCCGCTACTGCTGCTCGATGTCTTTCGCCTCTGCTGTCTCCAACGTCGTTGTCGTCGTCTCCTTCCGTTCCTCTCTTCTCCTCGTACTCCTATTATGATCTTCAGCGAAATGCTGCGATGGTTAGGCAATGATTCAGACTAACCGCGAAATGATCGCAGAGCAGCTTCGTAATTATGGGAGGCGGTCACTCTCGCACCCGCACTCATCAGCATCCATCAATAACGTGGTGGGAAACTCGTCCCTTCTCCTAAAAATTTTCCTTACCACGACGTCGTCGTCCAATGCCCGTTCTCGTTCTCCAATCGTCTTTGACGCTCGCAAAGAGCGCTGCGCCCGACAGGCGACGTGGGACGTGGGCGATGACAAAATGAACGGAGCGGACGAAATTCCTGGAATTTACTACCGTAAATGGCGCCGGTGGAGGGGCAATGGAGGAGTGGGATGGCCACGTGATCTATGAAAACATGCGCACTTGGCGCGCGGATGTGATTTATCGATAAACAGCGGCGACAGGTCAGTTCCTTTCGGCCGCTGTCTCTGTTCTTCTTACTCCTTTCTGCGCATAAACTGAGGCTGCGTTTACGCTTGACGCGCAACCAAAGTTTCGAAGCGTTCGATTGGCCCATTAGAGCAAAAAGAAAAAATCTTTTATCCCTTCCATTCTAACTGATCAATTAACCGCTTCGAAACTTCCGTAGCGTCAAACGGAGCACATCCTGAGATAAATCGACTATCAGCGCGCGCACAGAGGAGCTAAGTAATTCCAGGTAAGAACAGATTATCGACGTATCATTCATTGATAAATCACGACGGCGGGATTCCAGTCTTCTGCGCAATACGCTTATGTAAATAAATGTCCGTCTAACTTAACTTTTAGGTTTCGAAGAAAAATATAGAAATTATAACTATAATAAATAAAAGCAACATAGAGAATTCATTCGGATGTAACTCCACATAATAATATACATATACAAGCCTTTGTGTATAAAATGTATAATTTATATATATAAAAATTTTGTAAAATTCTTTTTTACGATTTTACATAAGTGTGATGTAAGTGTGTACATTAACTATCTAACAGCAATTATTACACTTTCATATATTACTATTATATAAAGTATAAAGCTTCTACATATTATCTTTAAAAGGCAGCAAAGGCAATAATATATAATAAAAATTAAAAATATAAAAATACTGTTGATCGAGTAGTTGTTTAAAGTAAAAAGACCGATTATAAGATAATATTTGACCGTATCAAATATCATAAAGCACGCATGCCGTGCAAAATGAGCGGCGGTAGCGTGAGAAATAGAGCGCCGATTAGATAGGTCGAGGTACTTCCAATGCACCAAAATGCTGAAATAGAAAACAAGATGCATCAGAGAAAACGAGATCGATGAAATAGAAGTATTTTCACAACGAATTTGATTCACTTTAATACCTGAAGATGCAACGATAGGTCCACAAGCGCGAGCCAACGCACCGAGAGAACGGAATGTACCAGTAATTACGCCTTTTTGATGTTCAGGTCCAATACGCGTCACTAGAGTCATCATACAAGTAACAACCATGGCAGTGGCTATAATAAATGACGAAATATAAAATAATAGTTATTACGATATTATTGCGTATCGATATCGTGCTCTCTTAATGATAAACTCGAGTAATTTATGATATCGACAATAAATAAATAAACAAAATGCTCACAAACTGCGAAAAGAAAAATTCCGGCAAACAAAACCGGTACACCGGTAGCGACACCGATGCATATAAATGCGGGAATTATTAGCCACAAACCCTAGAATAAAAATATTATTAAATAAAAAAATATTACTCAGAATATATAAAAATGGGAAATTCGAATAAACGATTATGTGAATTGGGCTTCTTTACCAGTTCGCTGATTGCTTTTGTTCTATTTGGGGGGATATGTCGCACCCAACCACCCTGTAAGAATGCCATGGTCAGTCCAATTCCGAGAAACATCCAGCCCTGTTGCATACTCGTAAATCCGAATGTATGATGTGTCAGGAATGTCAGAGTGAATTCCAAACCGCTGTAGATAAATAGATATATAAAATATGCTCGACCCAATATTTTTAAATCTTGTCGGTCTGAAAATAAAAGTAACACAATTATAGTGTTATAAAAATATTGATTATAATAACATTGTGCTCTGCCATGAAATATATACAAGACATAAATTGCTTTTTATATCAGAAATATATACCTTGATGACTCAAGATGGACACTCCATTAAATTGTAAAAGATCTATAGGATTAATGTATGAAATTGCCCCAGATAGTCCTTTCGCTAAAGTGGTCGCTCTGTGTTTTAATTGTAGACTCTCTTTGAGATAGTAAGCAACGAAAAATAAGTCACTTAAAGCCAGGAAGAATGCAAACAAGGCCGGTATCACGTACCATGTGCCTTCCCTATTACCACTCGAGATCCAAGCGAAAAACGCCCCTATCATTGGCCCTACCACAAAACCTATGGAGAAGGCTATTCCCACAAGCGCCTGCAAAAAGCAACAAAAAACACAATTTAAGTAAATAGTATTCATTTTAACATTTTACCTTTATCTATTGCTTTTTACCATTGCCTTTCCTCTTGTTTCTGGGGAAGTCACATCGCTGATAATAGCCATTGACAGACTGATGTTTCCTTTACTGATACCACCCACAAATCTCGCCAATACAAATATACCAAAATTTGTGGAGAATGCCCATAAAAGATACGAGAGTGAAATGCCTATTAGACATAAAAGCATTAGAGGTTTTCGTCCATAAATATCAGATAAAGCTCCTATGATTGGCGATCCAAGAAATTGCAAGAAAGAGTACATAGAGCCTAGGAAACCTGTAATAAAATTTATGTTATCAATCTTATAGCATGTATCATATATTTAATATCTTACACAAAAATGCCACTTTTAGATATATGCAAGATTACTTATGAATGAAAATTTCAGTTACCAACCTCCATAAAGAACTGTACTGACTTTATCTGGCGCATCAAAGAATACTTGTATGCTCTTTATATAGCTCAAAGTGCTAGAGTATAATCCACGTCCATTTTCTATCTCTTTGTAATGATCCAATAGAGCTGGCAACAGCGGCAATATCATTGTAAACGCTAGCAGATCCAGCAACAAAGATATAAACACCACTCGCACTGTGTTATTTTTGGTACCATTCATATTTCTTAATATATATTTAATATTGTATATATATATAAATATTTTTTTTAAATTAAATATATAAATTTAAAGTGTATATATGTATAAAATTTGATAATTTTTTCTGCGTTTATGAATCATTCAGCAGTGTCTGCATAGCAGCGAGTATCGCGATCGACGACACACTATTACGCAAATTTATCGAGGATCTCTCGAAGGTCTCAGGAAGTAGATTATGCTGTAATTTGCGAAATAACAGATGTTGTCGCGAACTCGATTGGCACATTTATTAGACTACATATTTAATATAGAGATTGTAATTTGACTGTCGGGCGTGTTTCTCAAATATGACTCTGTCCCGGGACGCAATAAAGAAAGACCGCTTTCTAGTCCTGTCATCGTGACACGAGATCCGAGATCGTCGGAGCAGATTCGTGTCGACCAAAATGTGAAAGGCTCCAACCAATTGTACAACATCCCGTTAAACATATATATATATATGTATCTCGCATTATTATTCTGGCAAGCCCGCGTGTGTAGAATCCGGAATAGTGAACGTCGTACAAATCTGTTGATAACATTAGTGAGTCAGGGATCATGCGTAACTACGGTCAATAAAGTAGGTAATGTTTATATCTCATATCAATAAAATTATCCATCTACTTTTATCCGTTTGATGTCTCTTGGTTCAATCTCGACAACGAAACTCGCAAAAGGGCGGAAAAACTATATCCATATCGTGGAGAGTTATAAGGATGACCTTATGCCTGCAGTATGGCATTTTTTGGACCTTCCTAGAATTTTCATCGATTCGCAGAAAAGGAAAAACCATCGAGGAAAGGAGAGAGGGGAAGAAGCGCGTTTAGGACGATGCTGGTGAAAAAGGCGATTTTAACGAAGGGACGTCGAAAGAGAGAGTCGCTCCGCTAAAATCCGAGATCGTTATATTGTTTTCCATCTGCCAGTGAAGCGAAAAATAGGCATCGAGCGGGCGCACCCAGCAGGAGCATTATGCGCGTTCCGACTTCCGGCAGTGCGCCAGCGCGCGGGATATAACGCTTCGCTCACACACACACACACACACACACATACGTGCACCGCGCGCGCGTGACAGACCCACTTCCTCGCTCTCGAGAACGCGAACAAAGCTTTTTCAAAACTCGTCCCGAACTGTAACATCGCCTGTGGCCGCGCGAGAGCGATCGTTTCTAAATACATGCTGCTGCAATTCAATACTCTCGACGCTATTTTTTCTCTCCCTCTCTGTCGCTCTTGGACCGTAATGTACGTCTCCTGCCTGCCTGCAAGATTCTCTCTCTTTCTCTGTGCGTTGCATACGCACGTGGAAATACGAGTTACGCGACGCGGCGGAAGGGAAAAAGATCGAAGCGTGAGAAACGATCCGATTGATCGGATGCGAGTGGAGAATGCGGTTCTCTTTAGAAAAGAAAAAGGATTCCGCCGCGACGAAAAAGGGAACACCTTCGAAAAGATGGATAAATCCCGAGCGGCGATAACGTGCTCGTGAGATCTATGATAAAATTGTCTCTTTGTGTTATGTCATATATAGTTATTATTATTTTATCTTAACTCTCTTGTAGGTCACACATATTTTTTTGCTCTGTTCTTGGCACGTGACATGTGTGACATTGTGAAAATAAAATGAATTGGACAGAGAGACGAGAAAAGAAAAAAAAGTTGTGAGATTTTCAAAGCATAATTCGAGTTAAATATAATTGATTAGAGACGATTCATCATATCGAAATATTGCGCTCGTGTCTGTAGAAAATCGTGACGTTTAACGAATAGAGGCCCGGCCTCTCTACGTGTTGAGCAGGTGGCACGGCGGCACGAGGAGCAACGCGTCGTCGTCGTCGTTGGTACCCGCGGTCAAAATTTAAGCAAGGGATCGCTTGCCATCTGTAGGCTCCTGCCTACCGTGCAAAGGTCCATACGGTATATTGGCGGTGGTACCTCGGCCCATCTTGCCGTTGCCCCTCGAGATTTTCGAATACATAAAGCGATAAGGGCTGGAATTGTAGGTTTTTACAACGTAATTGTGGCGCCGCAATAATTCGATCGATATAATTGATACAAGTTTCGTCGTTTATTAATAATTTGTCGTAAAAAGTTATTAGGTAACGATAGTATCTTGGCCACGTGTAACTTTTTTTTGCATGGTAATAATTGATGTTATATTATGTGATGGTTTTACATATTTTTTTCTTGTCTAAATTTTAATGAAAATTTCACGCGGAATATACTTTGCACTTGAACTATATTCGATATACTTAATTTTGTCCCGGTTAAAAAATGTTCCAACATCATGATTACCCCATAGTCGAGCCTGCGAACGAAAAGGGGCACGCGCCGATGACATTGGGCAGGTGTTGACATTGAACAAGCTTCACTCGCCCCAACGTTTTTCCTGCGTTTTCTCGATATCGTTTGATATTGTGTCTTTATAAAAGGCAGTAACTCCGAAATCGATCAAACATTGAATTTCGGGCACACGGGACGGTTTTGTCTTACGTTTCTTTAATAAATAATTTGAATCCCCTACAGTTAAATTTTCTACATAATTCTTTAGAAATATTTTAGAAAAAATGTGAACCTTTTGTATAAAATAGTACCGACTCACTGACAATAATGACTCGTCGCCGAGGGAGTCTCGAAAACTAAAATATGACAATATTGGCTACGGTAATTTCTAAAAATTCTAAGAAAGTAGGAAAACGGATAAAGAAAAAACAGAAAGGAAAAGGTCTGAGGTCTGATCCTAAATCGTTATCCTTAAAAAGAAATAAAAGAAAAAGAAATTTCATAAATTTAAGAAAAGATGTTCAAAAATGTAGGTACAATACTTTTTGTCAGTTTTGTCAATGTTTACGATTTTATAAATAAATCTTTGCGTGTCCCAAGGCTAATTCCATAAAAAGAAGATGCATCTTTGAAATAAACGTATCTTTGAATTTTGCAACGAAATTCGAAAAATAAATATGTATCCGTCAACATTCGTGTTTTTTTTTTCTTAATGCTTGATTCATTTGATTCCGCACCATGTAAATTCGTCAATGTACAGTTAGAACGGATGGATGAATGGACAGAAAAAGAGAAACAGACGTATTTTTCGAGAAGCTTCCACGGTGTAAAAACTGTGCAAAAACTATACAATACCATGCCGTAGTTTCCCTGCAAAAAAAAACGGGATTCGGAAAACTTTCAGGGCACGCAAATTCCGGAGACACGCTCGTCTCCGCCGGTTATTGATGGGCTCCGTTCGGTCCACATAATCCAACAAAAAGAGGCATATATAAGGTGTTCCCAAATATTCATTTCTCGTATTCTCGGAATTGTAAAATCTCAGCTTATAAAAGTATCTTTTTTGCAAAAAATATTGCAAAAAAACCTACTGCAAATTAATTATTTCTAGTTTATATTTATTTTTTCATATACGAGTAAAAGAAAATGTAAATAAATTGTACATAATAAATAAATATAAACATATTACGGAAATTGAGAGAGAAGAGAATCTATTGAAAGAAATTACAAAACGTATACTTAACAAACATATGTTTGAAAACTAATGATAATTTTACAGGCAGAATATTTAATCTTTTAATTTTTAAGCCAATAATTTTCTAATCGATATCGAAGAAAAAATTGGGACATTTTTCTTTCAATAACTCGCGGAATCGATATTCAATAAGAGAATTTATTTATCGAGGAGAAAACTCTCATAAATAGCGCAATTAGAATATTTTCAAATATAAAAAGCCTACTGCAAAAATATATGTGAAAAAAAATGCAATTCTCTTCGAGAATGAAAGGAAGAGTGACGTATATACATTCGCGTCTCCGAGATTTTAATCCTCGAAAGCTTTAGATTTTTTATCGCTTCTAAAGATGTAGCGAGAACCATCATTTTAGTTAAGGAAAAATCTTCTTCGGATCGAGTCGAATTTTCGCACAGGAAATCAGGAACACACTATACACAGAGAGACAAAGGATCCGCGGGCTTACATGGAAGCAGGGTGCCTGCGGAAAGCGGGCGCGCTAAAGAGAGGAGACGAATGAAGAAAAAAGAAGAATGAGATAGAAAGAAAAAAGATACAACAGGACAGGCGGCGAAATCTGAAATTTTCTCGGAAGCATAGACCCGTGAGCGTCACACGATGAAAATCCTACGGACAATAGGAACAAAGGAAATTTTCGGTACCGGTGTTGTGTGTACCGGCTGGCTGGCAAGCTGCAGCACCGTACCACATACCACCGTACTAGCGACGTGCGATGCACAAAGTCCCGCATAAGCCGCGTTGCAGCAGGCCAGGTATACATATACAGGGTGTTCCGCAACTGACAAAGCAAATTTTTTGAAACAAGAAAACGTTGCTTTCAGAGAAGAAAAACATTCCTGGTATTCCGTCCAAAAGAACGTTTGAAAAATTAAAAGTTGAAAAATTCTCGTCTCAAATTTTAGGCTCGATTATCAAGATATTTTTGCTTCAGACTTTATATTGAACAGATCCTAGTCTTAATTATCAAGATATTTAATCGTACGAAATTCTCACATAAAAAAGAATTCTAGATTATTTGATATTTGATGGAATATTTGATCGTGAAAAATTAAAAAATTAATAATGAGTTATTAATACTAGTTATTAGTAGTAATTGTTGAAAGAATTATAAAATATTGAATACAAACTTTCTAAAGATAAAAAATTATTGTTAAAAAATTAATTATCCAAAAACAGATATGAGATCAATATAACTAGCCAAGTATAGCAAATTATGTGTTATCAATTTATAATCGACACTAAGTGAATAAGAATTCCTTTAATTCCTAAAGCACACACTTTATAAAAATATATATAGTTTAAAAAATTTTACGCAAATTCTAAGTGTATGTGTGTCGCATAAACGGCCTTTAGACCGAAGTAAGATATGAAAACTTGGCGTGCCCGAGTTTTCGGTCTGAAAGTCATTTATGCGACTTGGAATTTGCGTTTTTGCGAAACAAATTTTTAAACTATATACATTATATAAAAAAAAAAGCTTTTGGAATTAAAGAAATCCTAACTTATTTAGTGTCGATTATAAATTTCGATAATAAGTGAATAGCACATAATTCACTATACTTGACTAGTTGTATCTTATTAATAATCAGTATCTGCTTTTGGATAATTTTCTCATACCGCATTCAGATCATATGAAATTCAGATGAGGCAATTTGCCCTTGAACTTTCAATTTCAGTTGCGAATCACCCTATATACACAAAGGGGCTGCACGAGAAGGCTTTCCGAATGAAAAAGAGGGAGAAATGGAGAGGGATGGAGAGTACAGCGACGGTTTATACGCCATAAATGATCCGAGGTCTTGTTTCTTTCTGGATGGACGAGGTACCAGTTGCTTTTTTCGGAGTAGGAGGGATGCTAAGGGGCTCCGTCAACCCTCCGAATACAGGGATTGGTACACGTGGTGTATTCTCCGTATATATATATTCTTTACCAAGAACGAGGTACACGCGGAAACGATATTTGCAACGAGCGGTCA